CCTGGACTAGCGGTTGCACTCTGGGACCTGTGCAGAGTTGCTGTTGCTTTGCTGTCAGTGGGCCCAGGTGGAGATTGATCCACTGACTTGGCTGGGAATCAATGTCCTCTCCTGGAGGAAGAAAAGGACACACACTGGTGTCTTATTTTTGTTTGGTGAAAATGCTGTTTGCTCAGCCTCTGGCTTGCACATCGGCCTCACCTTCAGGCAGGTGTCACCAGATAAAGGCTCTGTTTGGGCATCCAATTCCCACTAAAGGCATTAGAGTCACAATGTGCCTTGCCTGCTTTTATTTTTGGGACCAGATTCTATGCTAGATGCGATGAAAAGATTTCAAGGTGCATGGTGGCTTCAGCATAGATACAGTTGCTACCTTTCAAGAGATGTTTTTGAGCTGGATGCAAGATGTAACAAAGCCAGATGGTTCTGATCTATTTCCATTTCTGCTCATGGGTGACTTTAAGTGCCAGAAGGCCAGGGATATATCCAGTTGCTGGATGCTCTTTAATTCTTGTGTGGAACATCCCTTGGGATCTGTGGCAAGGGAAGGGAAGCTGCAGACTGCTTGGTCACCACCATTAGGGCAAATAGGGCATTGCCTCACTAGTCTCAGTTAACCCTCCAGTCCAGAGGATGACACCTCCTTTTCCACCTTCTCCTCTGTCTCAGCGTTACCCTTGTAGAACTCAGCAGGGAGGAGGAAAATGGGAACAAAACTAGATTTATGACTTGTCTACACTTCTGCTTTCCCCATGCCCAGAAAGCAGGAGTATGAGCTATTTTCCCCTTTACCCCACTGCTTTCCAAAGGAAAACCCACTCTTTCGTGATAGAACAAATGGCAATCATGGGGAAACCCAGATTTCTGTTTGCTCCAGAGCAGTTTTCCTTGGGGAGAAAGTAGCAGGACAAGATGAAGTGTGGACAAACCCTTAGTTGACTCTGCCTGCCATTGGCTCTGGCTCCACCTGTGGTTGGTCTCCTTGCCTTCCACCATACCAGCCACCACTTCCTATGTATAGAGTCAATAGGCACATCATCTCAAAGACTTTAAGGATAGCATGATGCTCCAGTATCTGGTTCTTCTTGTTCTGCTTGGCTCAAAACTAAAACAAACTGAAATATGTAAGAGTGAGGAAGCATAGGAAAAAAGAACTGTTGTCATATTTCTTACTTGGTTGTATGACAAACAGCATCTGCTAAATGCACCCACATAGTCAGAGGTCTGCATTATCCCCAAACAGAAGTAAACTCATTCATCTAATTGTGTTTGCCAAGGTAGCACGTAATGGGAATAAACTGGGGGACCTCATTCAGCTGGATTCCTGAGTCAGACAAAGCCCTCCTTCCCCTGATCAGGTGGCTATTAAGACTAATTACCATGAATACCAAAACTCACTTTTCATGGAACATAAGGCTGTCATTGGCTGCTAGCCATGATGGCTCTGCTCTGCCTCCACCATCAGAGGCAGTCATGCTTCTGGGCTTGGGTCCTGTTTGAGGGTTTCTCATGGGTGTCCACTGTGAGAACAGGATGCTGGACTAGGTGGCCTTGTGCAGCAGGGCTCTTTTTTTGCTCTATTGCATTCACTTGTCACAAATTCCAGGTAATGCTACTCCCTCCAAATCTCATTTCCTACTAGAGAGGCTGAGAAAGGAATAAAGAGGGCAGCCTCATAATCTTCCCACTACAGGTGCTCCTGCTGAAGGAAAGCTGGACCTTGGTGGGCTTGGAGGAAAGCTCTGCTCCTCCCCAGCTCGCCTTACAGATTCCCTTGAAGTGTGATGATGAGCCTTTGCAATTCATCACCTCTTGATACAGCTTTGCATCTGGCTCAGCTAACTAGATTTGTGGGTCTGTTAGACAAGAAAAGGCACTAATAGTGTGGGGTTTTTTAATATTCAGGGGGTATGCAGAGGTGGATTTAGGGCAGCATGACTGGTTCCTCACACACAAGGTGCTGAACAGAGAGGGCACCTTCCTGCCTCCTTCCCAAAGCCTTGTAAGCACTTACTTTGGGAAGGAGGTGTGAGGGCTCTGACAGGGTCCTAAAGTCCTCCTTTATCCTTCCCAAAGCATAGTTAACACTTGCCCAGCTTTGGGAAGGATACAGGAAAGTTGGATGTGTGTGTTAAATGCTGGCCTTGTACAGGGTATCATATTGCCAAAGTCGACCCCTGGGGAGTGGTTGGGACTTGTGGGGAAATCGCAAAATTACAGGGTGCAAATATTATCCACTTGGGTGCATGATTTTGGCTTCCTCAGCATTTAGCATTTCTTAGCAGCATTCCCCAAATTTTGTTCTACAGCATAAACTACAAGTGTTGAAGTTCTTGGGGACCTGCATTATTGATGCTCTTCTGAATGGACCGGTCCTGAGTGACATTCTTTGTGGAGGATGTTCCTGTGTTGATGCTGTCAAGAATACTGCAGCTTTGCATGCCAGTATTCCCCAAATTGCCTTTCCTGTGGTGTCTATCCCTCCCTCCCTCACCCTACCCCATCCTAACCCATCACCAAAACTGATGCCTCCCCCCCCCACTCCCCAGGAGATGAGCTCTGTGCACCTGGGCTTCCAAATTCTGAGAATTTCAAAATGTTGCTTAGAAAATCTGGGGTTGTCCTTTTTGTTGTTCATTTACTTTAGTGCAAGGTTATGAGACATGGTGAATTGGTATACCGTAAATTACCTCCTTAGAGATAGGCACGCTAAAGAGTGCCTTCAGGAGAGTAACAGTGAGAAATCAGGTAGAGAAAAGAAAGGCAGAAATGAGAAGGATTTTTTTTTTAAAAAAAGCAGCACAGCTTATTTCCTTAAAAAACAAGAACAGCATTTGTCTTTCATATACCTGTCCCAGTTAAGGGCATCATCTGTGATATGGGTGCACTCAATCATGGGTGAGATACTCTGTCCCTTATCCTTCTTCCAAAAGGCAGTCAGTTTGTCTTGGGAGGAGCTGCTGGTCCTTCTTGCTTAGGGACATCACTTTTTCCACCTAAGAACAATTGAGCTTGGGTGGATGGGTGGGAGAAAGTGGCCACATTTAATTTCCCCAGTCCTTTCCCTTCTAGGATCTCAGTGTTGATGTTGGTTTGGGCAAACTCAAATGCCTCCTTTCAGCTGATCCCCAAACCATCTCAGTAATGAATTGTGGAGCACAGAGAGAACTATGTTTTTGTATTGCCACAGATTTGCAAGGGCTCTCTAATGGGACATGTGTGGGGGGGGGGCATAGTGAAACACAGGCTTTACTGGTTTATTGTTGTTAATCTGCCTGCAACCAGTGTTGTGAATACATCTAAAATTTGTTTTTATGATGCACTGCTGTTTCATATGATGTATTATCCTCTTCCTCTTTTTTTGGGACACTGCTTGGATAGTTTGACGTTCAGCTTACTAAAAATTTTGCACACACACAAAAATAAGAAAAAAGAAAAAAAATTCCCAAAGGGATCAACCGAAATGCCACAAAAGCAGTTTATTTACTGTATTTGATTTATACCCAGTATTTCAACAAGTTCCCAAGGCATATAATGAGGGATGATGATAGGGAAGCATAATTGAGGATGACTGTATAACCCAAACATACAAAACAGCAGCAAAGCTTCGGACAGAGTTTAAGAGATGCATCTGCAGCACTCTCTACAGCTGTACAATGAAGGTGCCAGATACACGTCTGTGGGGAGGGAGTTCCACAACTTAGGGGCTGCTGCAGAGAAGGCTTTCTCTCCAGGCTACACACACAACTCAAGTTTCTGGTGGCAATGGAGGAAGCAAGAGGACCACTCCCCTGCCAGTTTTAGCATCCAAGAGGGTCTGTAGAGAAGGAGGTGGCCTTTTAGATATTTATACACAGACAGTGTCTCACTGGCACCCGCAAGCGTTTCAGGGAGGTTGGTTAGCTGGACACAAGCCTAAGACACACATTTCATTATGGTGTGTACCCAGGGGATTTTATTTAAAAAGGTGAATATTTGTTGAATACTCGCAGACATTAAATCATAAAGGACAATATTTAAATTCATCAAACGAAAGAAAATAAAACTTAACCAAACATATTGTTTTTTTAAATTAATTTAATTACTTTAAAAATGCAAATTTTAAAAATGAGGCACAAAAATCCCAATTTTTTGCTTTAGTGATAACCAGAGGTACGGTCAGCTCGGAGGCATGGTGGAAAAAAAGAGTCTCTTCACAGGCAGAAGGAAATACAAAGGAAATACAAAGCAAGTGACCACACACAAAGGGTCCTCTCTAGGAAGTTCCAGAACTCTTCATTTACTAGCCCTGTTCTTGTCTACATTTTGCTTGCAGACCCCACAAAACAGGTTTAACTTGGCTGGATCTCCCTTTTACAAACCAAAATATCACCCTGCACTTAAAGAGAGCTTACTCTTCATTTTATTTTTAAAAAGAACTACTCATTAGTAGAAGGAAATTTCTTCCTAAATATTTCCTAAAGGAGAAATTCAAATGAGCCAAAATGGTTTTTAAAAATAAAGTAAGTGTTGATGTTTAGTCTCAGTCTTACCAGTGTGCTTCTATCCATTAAAACTTGTCCTCATCAAATACTTTAGCTGGTTAATTTGCTATTGGAAAGTTGCATCCATAATATACTAGTCACATTACCCTACTTCTGCTCCCCTATTTCAGTTGGTTCAGTCCATCAAAACCTTCACAACTTGTCTTCCACTTTGCACCTCACCCAGCAGCTTCTCCCTCACTTTCCTTCCCACCTGCCCTATTCCACACAGCAACTGCACATCCCACTGCCCTCATTCATCACCATAGACAGATGCAGGCAGAAACTGCAGATTGATTCCATAGTGCCAGTTGATTGGGAACACCTAGACCACAGACTGAGCAGTCACACAGTTCCCTGGATGTATTGAATTTCTATTTAAATTACAGTAATGAAATATTTCTAAATTTGCATCTGCACATTTATGTCCTCTTTTTATGATGGTGGTGGTGGTGCATTTCCTCTTTTGGGGGGGAAATGGACAAGTGCCCCCCGACCCCTGGGCAAAGCAGTCTTGCAAATGCTGCAGTATATGGCAAAGTCATGCCACATGGCCTGGTGCAGCCCAGCAGCAAAATGTCTACCAGCACAGTATGAATTGTGGCCTTTTCACCAGCTGCATATTTACACACACAGGAAATAAAAATCTCCAAAACCCAACACTTCTTACCAAAACCAAACTGTGACCATCTACCATGGCAGCCCAGATCCCTCCCTCTCTCACCTTTGTTCCTTCCTCATAGTGGTTGCTGTCACTACTACCAGGAAAACCACATACCTTCTCATATGGCATGCTGACTTTTTTCACTGATCAGGAGAGCAACAGCAGGAATGAACTGGACTAGAGCCACTGACTGTGAGCCCTTGACTGAAATGGAAGGAAAGGAAGGGCCAGAATTTGCCTGGTTGTGAGGAGCTTCGGTGTACAGTCACCAGTTGGGCTGTGCATGTTATGCAGACTCCTACCGGGAGAATGCAGTGACAGTGTGCTAGAAGTATTGGGGTCATTGTCCTGATGAGATGTGGCCTTTGCTCTTATAAATACATGCATTTGCTTGTGTGGCATTTCAAAACCTCTGTGGTTACTGAGATGCCTGAGTCATGTCATTTTGTAGGATGAGATGTCACAGATATTATTTAAGGAAAGACCTCTTTCATTTCCTGATCTAGACCAAAAAAGGCAGGCACGTTTTCTACAGAGGCTCCCGTTGGCTGAGATTAGTAAGCCACACTTCCTACCACAGGTGGCCATGGTGAAACTGGCTAGGCTAAGCCCCTGTTGGGTCCTTCACCTCTTGGTGCTTTCCTTTCCCCTTGATGTTCTGAGCCTGCTGCAGCTACCAGCTGTTTAGTCAGAGGCCCATAAAGCACCTCAGGGACTTTCACCACAAGCTGGCCTTTGTGCACCCAATGCCTCCATCATCAAAGAGAGTGGCTGGTCCCCTTGACCATTTTCTTTTCTCTTCCTCCTTGGCAGGTGTGGACGTTCTGCTGGCTAGCACTGCTGCACCCTGAAGTGATGGCATTGACAAGGGTCTGGGCCATACCTCCGCTCTGTGTGACTAGCCTTGGCATTCTGCTGCTGGTTTATGCTCTCCCTGCAGAAGGGTAAGGTGGCAAGAGGCTGGGATTTTATTATATAGCGCAGAGGGAGTGAGGAAGGGTCTGGGGCACTCCTTCTCCATCACTGTACCTGCAACACCCAATTGCAGTGAGGGAGGCTGTAAGGCAGACTTTGGGACCCTGGTTAGGTTTCACCTTCTGTCTCTCTAAGACTTGGTCATGGCTCTTTGGAACCAGGAAAATCCCCAGCTTGGTCCTGCAGCAAAGGCATCTAACAATAATCCCATTTTGCCCCACACAGCCACTCTCCATGCCAGCTTTTCTCCTGACTGTGCTAGAGAATGGTTGATCTGAGTAATTTGCCAAGGCGATCTTCCCCATGCCAGAATGGTCAGGACTTTTCCTGTGCCAGGGTCCAAAATGGAATCCTGCATACACAGCAGGCAGCTGCAGGCAACTGACTAACCAGGTACCTGGAAACCTCCGAGGAGCAAACCAAAAGCAGCTGGCAACCATAGAGACAGAGAGCAGTGGTTTGAAACACCTGGAGTTGCAAGTGCCCCTTTCCTTCCATTTTGGGAGACCTCCCCAGAGAGTGTTTGTCTGACTTCCCTCCCCTCCCCTCTCCTTTTAAGGGGGAGGCAGAAACTTTCTATTCCTGTCTAAGTGATGACATTGGGAGACCCTTTGAGGAGTGGTACTTCTGGCCTAGAGTGCCCAGGACAACAGTCTTCCCCATCCCCAACCTGATGTCTTCCAGCTGCCAACAGCCCCAGCCATCATGGACCCCTGGATGGTGCCAGGTCAGAGAAGACTGTATGGTACCTCATTCACAAGAATTTTAGCTTCGTATCTCATTCAGCAAAAAAACAAAAACAAAACAAACAAAAAACAAAAGAACAGCACACACACACACCAGCACCTCCAACTCAACGCATTGGACACCTTCTCTGTGCTCTCTTCAGCATCTGCTTAAAGCATGTAGATGTTGACCTTTTAAAATCTTTTTTTACTGCTAATTTTAAATATCTTTAAATGTTTTAAACTGTTTTTATTGCTGCTTTTCATTTTTCTAGTAAACCACTTATATATTAAATAAAATGATTAAACAGTGTTCCCATGCTATTGGTGCCTTCATGAAGATGGTAGCACAAACGTTATTTCTCGAGTACATTTCTGTGATACTTTTGTCTAAGAGAACAGATCCAAGTTGGGTTGCAGATAATAAAACCAGCTCATGATGTGCTGGAACAGAACTCCTTCAAACACACACGCACACATACACCCAAATACAAATAGAGAGTACAAATTGTGCTTGCCCATGAGCTCAGGTGAGCTAGTTTTGTCTGGCAGCTGCTCTTGGGAGGTATAGTCCTTTCTACTGTCATTGGTAGGCAATGTACACAGAATTCTTAGGTTATTATTTCCCACCTGTTTGTTGATTTGATGGTTTGCTAATTTGTAATCAGTTTGTGTGATGATGGCATTTTAACACAGCAAGAAATGCAACTTAACAATTCTCAGTGAGATTTCTGTAATGTAAACATGTAAAAAGGGTGCCACTCCTATCTCTGGGGAAGAGCAAGTATGACAAATAAATAAATGAAAATCCACATGCCTGGATGGGGGTGGGGGACAAGACAGAAAGATGAGCATGTGAGGAGGCTGCAGGCCAAGGCAAGAAATGAGTGTGACAAGCACTCTTCTCCTGTGTGAACAAACAGGTTTGGGCATCCTCTTCTGACTAGAGAAGATTCCAGCATAAATGCAACACTCTGCACCTTCCTGCCTCTCTCTACCTGCACGCTTGGAGCAAGCAGAGGCATCCAAGAGTGATGGGACACATTAGCATTGCTCAAGACACAACTGCAAGAGTTACGATTACGTCAGCACTTTTGTAGGAAACCCAATCCTCTTCCCAGCTGGCCCAGCATAGCAAAGACTTGGCAGCTACAGCTCATAGCCTGGTAGCAATGATTTCATCTGCTTTTCCTTCCCATTTATCACAAATCTCCTAGTAACAGTGGGCAGCAAGCAATAAAATTCTGGAAATAGGAAGCTTTTGATTAAAGGCACAGTTTGCCCTTGGAAGCCTCAGTTGTTCTTTGCCAGTCCATGCAGGACAGGCAAATGCCACTGCCATTTATTGTAAATGATAGATTAGCCACCAATCAGGTGTAAACACAGGGTGGTATTCAACTAAGTTTTATTCGGGATTGACCTGCTAAAATCAATGGACCCAACTCAGTTATGCTCATTCATGTCAATAGGTCTACACTAAGTAAATAACAGTCAGAAAATAGTTGAAGGCAATCATTTGACAAAGTGGTTGGTTGACAGATCTAACATCTTAGGGTAGGCAACCTAAGGCCCGTGGGCTGGATGTGGCCCAATAGCCTTCTCAATCTGGCCCATGGACATTCCGGGAATCAGCGTGTTTTTACATGAGTAGAATGTGTCCTTTTATTTAAAATGCATCTCTGGGTTATTTGTGGGGCATAGGAATTTGTTCAATTTTTTTCTTCAAAATATAGTCCGGTCCACCACATGGTCTGAGGGACGGTGGACTGGCCCACAGCTGAAAAAGGTTACTGACCCCTGATCCAAGTGAATTAATGCAAAGTGGTGGTGGTGGTTATGGTTACCCATGTGCTTCTCTCCCTCCAAATATCCAACCCAGAGAAAAATGGAAGGGGTGGAGGAAGGAGTAACAGCTGCCCCATCTTGTGAGGTGGCCTTAGACTGATTCACTATGCCTTCCCAAAGCAACCTCTAACCTTGGGCCCCTCAAGGCTACTGTTTTGTTGCCATAGGTATGGTCTCTGCCACATGCTCTTGGCACATTAGTGGCGAATTTATTCCGCCTTATCAGTTGCTCTGCAATGCTTGCTTGGTGCTAACACGTTATTGGTGTCCAGAGGGGCTATAGAGCAAGAAAAGCGAGAGGGAAATAAACCAGAGCATTTGTGGTGTAAAAAAAGTTATAAGGTTTCAGTTATGGGAAAGGCACTGACTGGAATGTGAAGCAGTGTGAATGTGCAATTAAAAAGGATGCCTGGAGGGGCCTCTTGTGACTAACAGCTACTCTGTGTCCAGTTGGAGTTAACATAAGGACATGTGGAGGCAGGGCCACGTCCATTAAAGGTAAAAAAGCTGAAAAATCCAGAGAAGGCCTAAAATCAGTGCAGGCCAGGGATGGGATTTTTTGTGTGTGTTTTTGTGTGTGAGCACACACAGAGCATCATTGGAGAAGTGACAGACCTTAACCCTCCTGTTCTCCCTTGATATGGCAGACTCGCTCAAAAGCATGGCCCAGATATTATCGATGATGACAACAAAGACAACATCACCATCTTCACACGCATCCTGGACCGGCTGCTGGATGGATATGACAACCGACTGAGACCTGGGCTTGGAGGTCAGTCTACTTCAGCTAATTGTCTGTGCAAGCTTGATGGCATTTCCTTATGTCACAGCAGGGGGAAAGGTGTAGGAGGGTACAAACAAACAAGCAAACAAACAATATATGGACCATCCCTCCAATCTAACTGCATTTCCACTTAAAGCTGCCTGCCCCACAGCCTCCTTGGACTGCTTGCATAAGGGAAGGCCCCTCCCCCAATCTGGCAGAAGCAACTCCTCCTTGGGAGGGGCTATTAATTCTAGGGCTCCCTGGAGTCTCTTGCTGGGGGTTTGTGGTTTCTTGGGATCCTCTCCAGCCGATTACTTGAAGTCCTTCGGCCCAACAGTTAAGATAATGAAATGTCGGTTTCTGTTCCAACAGAGGCTGCTTCATGTGGCTGCCTCATCCTTACACTCACATTCATGCACACTCTCTGCTGGCTTGCTCTCCCTACAGAGCCCTTGAATGGGGTAGGGGTAGACTTTTCAAATTTCAGCAGTGCCCTGTGTGAGACCAAAATTCAGCACCCCTGCCCCTTGCCTTCCGTTCTGCTCAATTTGGTACGCCATAGTTGCAACGCCCTGCAACATCCCCTAGGCTTGGCACCCAGTGTAGTGCAAGCAGTCACACTGCTCTAAATCTGCCTCTGAATGGGGGAAGGAGATAAAGGTATGAAAGAAGAGAGAGATGATCAGCCCTCCTGCAGCAAGACCAGACGTTTCAGTGCAGTCATTGGCATTTTGCTTCCTGCTCACAGGGTCATAGGAAGCTGCCTTGAACCAAGTCAGACAATTGGTCCATCTAGCTCAGCATTGTCTACAATGACTGCCAGTACACCTGTGGTTTCAGACAGGGTGCCTTCTGCCCTACCTGGAGATGCCATTGCAGAATGAACCTGGGACCTTCTGCATGGAAACCAGATGCTCTGCCACTGAGCTTTAATTGTAGCACATGCTCATTTGCTTAGGCAGACCAGGAAGATGCTCCTGTCTCCCCACCTCCAGTAGCAGGTGGCAGTAAGGTGTGGGTCCCACTGGCAGAGGAAGAGGAGTGCAGGGGGAGCGAACCGCCCCTGGCAGCATGATCCCGGTGCTATGCCCCTGCAGACAGCGTGCCACACCCCCAGAATGAGTGCCACACTCCTGTGGGCGCATTGCCACACCCCCGGGATGCGTGCCAGCCCCGCCCCATCTGCTCTCCACCCCCTGGTGCCGGAGCATGAAGCTCTGCCACTGGTGGGTCCTTCAGGGAACTTGGAAGCAAGTTGCCACCTGCTACAACTGACCTGTCAGCATCTCATTACCACATCTAGCATCCGTGTGGGTTGGGTACTTCCTATCTGGTTTGTGCTGAAATGGGGATCAATGAGGATGTAAAACCAGCTACGGGCAAGAGTGTCTGTCCCATGTGCTCTTTGCATTCTGTGCCACAGCAGCAGCAGCTAGACTGGGAATAAATGGCTCGGAGTGTGATGCTGGTCCCTGAACTCATGAAATGAGCACTCAGAGCTCCCAGAAGACAAAATGCAAGTCCACCAAATGACAATACATGAGACACACTAGGGCATTACAGAACTGTGGCCAAGAGGAGCCCCCAGGGCCTCGTGGGAACCTATCACGAAATCACAGTATTGTAGATTTGCAAGGATCTTCCACAATTTCTTTTTTGGATCAATCTAACAAACTAACTCCCCCCCCCCAGGAGGTACTCAAGGGTACGCAGCACTGGCACCTCTTTGTTTTTTTGGGTTAAAAAGTGTGACATTTTTCTTTAACAACTTCATGAGTACCAGCACATATTTTTCTAGAAAAAAGCACTGTTCTCTCTCTGTGTCTGTCTGTCTGTCTGTCTCTCCCTCTCTCTCTCTCTCTCACACACACACCTTATAAAGTTGTAGAGTTGGAAGGGACACCGAGGGTCATCTAGTCTAACCCCCAGCAGTACAGGAATCTCAATTAAAGCATCCATGGCAGATGGCCATCCAACCTCTCCTTAAACACCTCCAAGGAGGGAGAGTCCACAACCTCCTAAGGGAGTCCATTCCACTGTTGGACAGGGCCTCTCCTCCTCCCAGAGGGGAGGGGTTTTGAGCGGGGGGGGGGGGGGAGGCGTATTCGGCTCCCTGCTCCTGATTGCTTCTGCTGCCATGGCCAAGCCTTCCAGCCGACCAATAGGGATGGCTGGTGGGCGGGGCTAAACACCTTTAAACAGCCGCGGCAGCGCTCTGCTCCCAGTCTGTTCCTGCTTTCTTCAGATCTCCCGCCCTCCTTACCTCTTAGGTCAGCTTCTTTTTGCGTATTGACCTTGCTGTAATCAATAAAAGTTGTGGCCTAATTTTGCCCATTAACCTAAAATAATGTGTCTGTGTGTCTTATTATAATCCTATGCGGGTGGAGGGTCCTCAATTCACAACTCCTACTGTTAGAAAGCCCTGTTTCACACCACTCTTTATAGGGAAGGCATCCAAGGATGAACCATCATGCTGGATACTGCTGTGTATTCTCTTGTGGAAGGACATGATCACACTGCAAAGATTAGGTGGGGATCCTATCTTACTGATTTCTGTGAAGAGTCCTTTTCAGCTGATGAAGCTAAGGGCCTTAATCAGGTCTATGAAGGCAATGTAGAAGGGGCACCTCTGCCCTTGGCATTTCTCCGGCAGCTGGTGCAGTAAGAAAATCATGTTCACTGTTGACCTCATGGTAGTACAGCATATTATATGTAAATCATCTATGACATTAAAAAAAAAGTCTTCCTTTAGATTTGGTTCCTGGTTGTCTAGTGTTGGTTCTTCCACTTATACTAGAGGTTGCAGTTCACATTAATTTGCTTCCTGGGGCCCATAAGATCTATCTGCAGAACTAGTTCCCCACCTCTCTCTGTCCCCAGAGGTCTTCCAAAGCACCTGATTATGACAGTGCTGCAATTTCGATAGTGCTGCAATTCCTGCATTTCACTGAATTGGACTATATGTAGCTTTGGTTCCTTCTAGCGCTGCAGTTCTATGATTCTATGCTCTCCTTTGCCCTCCTTACTATGTGCACTGACATTCAGTTGTGCTTCCAGACAGAAGCTCTGCTTGTTGCTCTTCAGCTCTGCATGCCTTGATCCTTCTTGATCCTCTGCACCTAGCCTTGATTTGTCCTTTCCTTAGCATGGGGTAAGTTAATTCCTAGACAGGCAAGTAGCTTTGAGAGGAGACTAGGCACTGATATAACGGCCCCTGACATCATAAAAGCATCAGTGTCTACCCTGAGCAGAGAAGGGTGGTGCAGTGGGCCCCTTCTCAGCTCTATGTGGGATGTGCACCTGGAGACCTCTTTTCTTCATGATCTTCATGTGCCACCTGTCCAGGCAGCTCAGTATTCTCACCCCACCCACCATGCAGGCTAGTCATCCTTGTCCAGAAAGGAGCCCATACAGACTCAGATGTTCCCAGTCTGAGCCCTCTCAGCTCCAGAGAGGCAGGCAGCCCTGACAGGGTTGTGCGGCTTTGGTTATTTCAATTGAACTATGGCTTGGCAACAGATTAGCCCATGTCAACAAACAGCTCTAAGCCTTTAAATCAAGTGGTGCTAACTTCATTTCTCACTGTAGGGGGTGGGTGTTCGGGAGACTTCAAAACTCACTAGCGTCTTGAGATATCATGGGGCTAGAGGTGTCCTTTTCTGTGAATGAGAGCAACCAGAGGAGAGGAGAAGGGATGGAGGGAGGAAAGCATCTGTTGGGAGGACTTGCCTATTGCATCAGGATTTGCAAATATGTCCACCTCACCCGAGAGAGAAGCCTGTGAAGAAAGCCACTACTTGCATTTACAAACAAATCCAAAGCATTAATAAAATCACTGTTTTGTGAATTGAGTGAGTGTTTCATTTAAATGCTTCTCCAAAGGCCCTATGGAGCTCATGGAGTGTAAGCTCAAAATGACTCTATTTTTGCAGAACGCATTATGTGCTGTTTAAAGGCACTTGTAGGAAGTCTTCCCTGATGAATGCCAGAGGGCCCTGATTAGAGGCCCACACACCCCATTTGTGTTTGTTTATGGAATTGGTCATTGTTCAGTGTCCACCACAACTAAGCACAAAAGTGGATCATTCGACTGTAATCCAGGGAAGGAGCAAGCCTGGAGATTTCAAACAAAGCTAAGGCAGAAATTACACAGGGAAACATTCACCATGCGAATCACCCCTAATTACTTTCTTCCTTTTTGCTTCTTCCAGATACAGTAACTGAAGTCAAGACCAACATTTATGTAACAAGTTTTGGGCCCGTCTCGGACACAGACATGGTAGGTGCTGTTGGGATGGATTTGGAAGGTAGGATAGGATTGATTATTTATTAATTATCCTTCCTCTTACATGCTTGAGTAATATTAGCATCTAGTTTAGCAGAGTTAAAAATCCCATCCTTCGCACTATTAACACGGAAGCTAGGGAAAAAAGACTGTGTAGCTTTCTATCATTATCCAGGATGTCTTGGGCAGACTGCATCTTCCCCTTTATTTATCCTTCTGAACAAAATAACAACATAAAAATCTGTTATTTTAGAATATAAAAATATTGTTTAGTTACAAAAAAGTTGCAGACTTGATTCAAGCAGAAAATAGCAGTGAAATAAGTCCAGAAAAATATACTCCTAGATTGCAAAATACATGATTTTAGGAGCACACAGACCCTGCATCCTATCCCTACAGTTGCATGATGAGAAAAAGAACGTTCTCCGAGCAGGAAGGAAGGAATAAGAATCATATTGCTGCTGCTACCTTTCCTGCCTCTCCAAGCAGAGGATGTGACCTCACAGACTGATCTCTAGGAGTTTACATGGAACTCTATGTGCCTTAGCCTTTTGGTCACCTAGCAAACATGGAATTTTATATTTTGACTGGAGCATCATTTTCCCACATTTGTGGAGGTAGAACATAGCGATCATGGCTAGTAGTCATTGATAGCCTTATCCTGCATGAATCCTTATCCTTCCAGACCTTTGCATCTGGTCGTGGCAGGCAAGGTCCCTTTGTGGGGGTGAATGGACATGTACCAGCTGCTGATGGCAAAGTGTAAGTATCAGCTCTTCCCAGGTCAGTGCGGCTGGTGTGTCCTCTCAGCCTCTCCAAATAGCCATCCTCACCCCTGTTCCCTCCCAAAGTGGGTAGCAAGGGAAATGAAGGACAAGCTGTCATGGGAGCTAAGCACTTTTTTATGCTTGGGCAGGTAGGCAGCTCCCGCTTTCTCTACCAGGCATGCCCACTAGAAGAGCCACCTGTTTGCAGCTGATCCTTATTCTATTGGCAGCAAAGAAGAAAAGGTCAGAAGGAGATTCAAAGTGTTCGCTATCACAAGGAAAATGTGAAGGGAGGGATGGCTGGAAGGTTGAGGGGACACAGCTGGCAGAAGTCCTAAGGACTGAATTGAGGCCTCTCTTCCCACAACTGCATGCCTAAATGAAATAGCCTAAATCATTGTCAGAAAGCAGCACACAGAGTTGCTTCTGTGCCCAAAAATCCCAAACCACAGAAAATGCTGATGAGGAATTAGTTCTTCCTGGGATTCCCCAATTAATAAAGGATGATGCAAGTTTTGTGGGTGGGGACCCTCCTCGCCAGGAGAGGTGCTTTTTATGGGCTCCATGCCCTGTTTTCCTTTCGTGTTCTGAATGTGACCATGCTAGTCTGGAGGTCTCCAAGCACGTTGAACCGGGGGAGGGGGAGGGGAGAGACACTATAGGGAGTGGCTGTTCCTTCCTTGGCAACTGGATTTGTCTTCCACAGGAAGATCAAAACAGAGCCACCAATCTATGCTGGTGAGACTTGTCCCTAATGGAGTCAGTCTAGACCATTCTTATGGTAGCCCGGTAGAATTGAGTGTGCTATTCTGCTTGTGCTCTCCACAACCCATGCATATAGCCATATAGGACAAGGGATGGCATTTCCACAGCCCTTCTGGTGGGCTGCTCAGGAAGAGGAAGACAAGCAGCAGAATTCCAAGACCCAGCTACTGATTTAAGACTATATAAAATAGGGAAAGGAGAGTGAGAATGAGTGTGCACAATCAAATTGAATATAAAATGCTAAATCAGAATTTTAAAACTGGGCATATACTAAGTCACCTTTGGCTTCCAACGTCAGCTGCAGGAGGGACAACAAAATACCAGGACTCTTATCAATAAGAGGTCTTTTGTGCACAGATGACTTTAAGTGACAGGTCACTAAGCCCAGCCAGTCACTGGACAGCCACATACCACAGGGGTGATGTTGTAGAGAGAGTTTGGGAAGAGAGATTCTTACTCTCTTGTAACAGAGACAGCAGAATGGCAATTGCTCCAAACGTATTAAAACTTGATTAGATTTGCTTCTGCCTTCAACCACCTTTAAACAAATGTTCCCCATGAAAATATTTATGGCTAGAAGACACTTGGCTTTGCAAATAAGTGAAGCGTTTTATGCACAGAGTTTCAGGAGTTACAGCAAATAAGCTTCCATCCTTTGGCAGTAAAATAAAGAAGAATACCCCCATGACTTAAAAATAAAGAACTTGGTTTCCTTACAAAAGGATCATGTAAGATGTAAGCAGTAAAAATCTCTTTGAGAGAGATTCATTCGTTTTTTCTACAGCTGTGGGTATTCCTGGATCCTTTGCTGTCGCTTGAGGCTCATGTGGCCTCAGTGGCATGGAGTGCCTTCCATCAGCATCAGCTGGTGGCCCAGCTGCACCCATATCTGGACAAGGATAGTCTAACTTCGGTGGTCTATGTTTTGGCAATGTGTTATATGTGGGGCTGCCTCTGAAGACAGTTTGGAAAATTCAGCTGGTTCAGCAGCCAGGTTGCTCACCAAGGCAAGACGGGTTGAACATATAATGCCATTCCTGGCCCAACTTCACTGGCTGCCAATTAGTTTCCAGGCCCAATTCAATGTGCTGGTTTTGACCTATAAAATGCTAAACACAATACTTCAAGGACCACTTTGCCCCATATGAACCAACCTGGACCCTGTGATCATCACTTGTAGCCCTTCATTGCGTGTCCCCTCCATGGGAGGTCTGGAGGTTGGCAAGATAAGGACAGGTTTTTTCTGCAGTAGATTCCTGCTTGTGGAATGTTCTCCCCAGGGAGGCTCATCTGGTGCCCTGCTTACATACCTTTAGGTGCCAGGTAAAAACATTCCTCTTCTCCCAGGCCTTAGGCGACTTAAACAATCTACGGGCTTTTAAATGGGGATATTGTTTTTGTTTGTTACTATGGTTTGTATTTTGTGTTTTTATATTGCAAGCCACTCCGTGATCCTTGGGTAAAAGGTGGTATAGAAACTAACAACAAACTTTTTAGCTTAGAGAAAAGGCAAGTAAGATGTTACATGATGGAAGTTTATAAAATCAGGCATGGCATGGAAAGAGTGGATAGAGAGGTTTTCCCCCCTCTTTCATAACACTGGAACTCTTAGATATCCCATGAAGTTGAATGTTGGAAGGTTCAGGATAGAATAAAGGAAGTCCTCCTACATATAGCACAGAGTTAAACTATGAAACTCCTTCCCCCAGGAGGCAGTGATTTCCCCCCAATTTGGGTGGCTTTAGAAGAGGATTAGGCAAATTAATGGAGGATAAGACTACCAATGGTACTAGCCATGATGACTATGCTGCATCTTCAGATTTGGAGACAGTGATGCTTCTGAATACCAGTTGCTGGAAACTGCAGGAGGGGAGAGTGTTTTTGTGCTCAATAGGCAACTGTTTTGGTGACTCTGAGAACAGGATTCTGTGTGAGATGGGCCTACTTTGACCTAATACAGCAAGCTCTTCTTATTATCTTCCATGGATATAGACTGTGAAGCTGCTCAGTCATGGGAGCTGGACTCCAAAGGATCAGGCAGAAATTGGAGTGACTGGCCCAGCAGGGCTGGAAAATAATGTATTATAATATCCCATTTTGAGGAGTTACCCATCAATAGGCTCCTTCTGGCTTTAGAAGGCCCTCTTCCTCTGGGGCAAGGAGTTAATTCAGTGTTACTGGAGCTGCTACTTTCCCACTTGGTCCGGCTTCTGACTCTTTCTCTGTCACACTCGCTTTTCTCTCTTCACACCAAAGCAAAGAGCCATAATATATTCAGTCATCCAAGCCTCAGGGAGTCTCTCATAATTACTTCTAAGGTGGAGCATATTTGAATAAGGAAGCTTGTATAATGAACTGTGGAGAACAGGGAAATGGGAGGTATTGAAGAACGGGGTCCCCCCCCCCCCTCTGCTGTGTGATTTTGAAAAAGGGGCTCTGAACAAGGTGGGCTGGTAAAGAATAATATGGTCACATCCACACAAGCTTGTTTTGGTTCCACAGATGTCATCCATGCATGGGAAATGTGATGCCCCTTTGGGTATTTTCTTTTTTGTGGGGGTTGGCTTCTGAACTGAAGAAATGCTGCCGACACTATTCCCTCTCTAGATAGAAGGGCACAGGGCTGACTCAAGGCATGTTGTTGCCTGAGGAGGGGCAGCAAATGCCCTTTCCCCAACCAGATGCACAGAAGTAGTACCTTGCAAGGCCAGTCAAGTTATTTTGCCACCTGAGATCCGACAAATGCATTTCCCCTTCCCTGGCAGTCAACACCCAATAGTAAAAAGAGGGATAAGAATGTGATACCTTTTGATGACAACCCAAATCAGCTACGTGAGCCAGTCACATCACTCCATCCAATAGCATGGCTGGTCTCCCTCCTGCACACACAAACACCCAATCACACACACCCCTTTAGTACAGGGATTACTGATCAGCTCCCCTGGCCAAGCCATGAGGAAACTTTGTTTGTGCCTTGTTGTTTTGGTTGAACTGGACATGTCATTACTATTATTATTTTCAATTAGGCTTGGGTGACTGAATATATTATGGCTCTTTGCTTTGGTGTGAAGAGAGAAAAGAGATTGTGACAGAGAAAGAAAAAATCGGAAGCCAGAGCAAGTGGAAAAGTAGCAGCTCCAGTAACACTAAATTAACTCTTTTAAGAAAGATGTTGACAAACTGGAACGTGTGCATATGAAGGCAACCAAGACGATTAAGGGTCTGGAAACTAACCCGTATGAGGAGTGCTTGAAGGAGCTGGGTGTGTTTAGCCTGGAACCGATGAGAGTGAGAGGAGATATGATAGCCATCTTCAAATATCTTAAGGGCTGTCACATGGAGGAGGGAACATGCTTGTTTTCTCCTGCTATGGAAGGTGGACTGAAACCCATGGCTTCAAGTTACAAGAATTGAAATTCTGACTAAGCATTCGAAAAAACGTTTTGACAGTAAGAGCTGTTCAACAGTGGAATGGACTCCATTGGGAGGTTGTAGACTCCTCTTCCTTGGAGGTTTTGAATCAGAGGTTGGATGGCCATCTGTCATGGATGCTTTAGCTGAGATTCCTGCATTGCAGGGGGTTGGATTAGATGACCCTTGGGTCCCTTCCAGTTCTAAGATTCTATGATTCTATGATTTGTATAAGGACATTATGATAATGGCAGTTTTATTTTAAACCCCTTTCCTAACAATCCCCAGCATGGAATTTGCCTTATTCATGTCTGCCATGCATTGGCTGACATCTTCATCAAGCTATCTACTATAGCCCCAGGTTCTTGCTCCTGGTCCATCACCTGCTGTTGAGGAGGAGAGGGGAGGGAGAAGAACTGCTGGATATTGGTGTGACAGAGACTTTGAGTGGATGAGTGGGTGAGTGGGTGGCTGGAGCACTGGAGCAAGAAGGCTCAGATCCAGAAGTCATGCTGTCTTCCTTGGCTGGAGAACAGGGAGTCAGTCTGTCCATGATTCCTCACATGAAGCTGCTTGCTGGGATAGCCTTGGTCCTGAATGCTCCAATTGGGGTCAGCAGGTTTTAGTTACAGGAAGGAGGCTTCAAAAGCAGCTGTACTGGTTCAAGGCTCACCATAGCAGGGGGCATCAGAGATGAAGAAGTACTGACTTGTTGCTCGTTGGGGTGTTTCTATTCTTCCAAAGGGGAAGGAACTGGGGGGGGGGGCAGAATGCCCAGTATCTGTCAAGAGGAAGAGTAGGGCAGCACTGGATCGGGAGGAGGAGGAAGCAGCAGCAGCAGCAGCAACAACTGGTCATGTCTTGGGCACCATCTGCACTTACCATCTGCACCAGCGTTGCCACAGAAACTGCTGCTGAAGGTTTTGTTTGCCTGAACTTGTTGCTGGGTCCTTGATACCACTGATGAATCATTGGGGGGGGGGGAGTGCTTGGAGTGCTTGGAAAGAACTTTGCTACCCTTCCTATTCAGTTTCAGTGTTTGTGTAACTGAGAGGAGGGGTAGGGCAAGAGTATAAAATTCAGAGGAGAGTTGGGATCAGCTCTCTCACGCTCACACATAGAATCATAGAATTGCAGAGTTGCAAGGACCCACGAGGGTCATCTAGTCCAACCCCCGCAATGCAGGAATCTTTTGCTCAACATTGGGATTGAACTCATGACTCTGAGATTAAGAGTCTCATGCTCTACCAACTGAAAACATTTTATTTGGGGGTATTTTTTTAAAAAATGTGCATTCTAGTAATTAAAATAATATGCACAAAAAAGAATGGCATTCAATTAACTGCTTTCTGCCGGTCATGGGCCCTTGACACAACTTTGTGTATACACATGTGTTACTAGATTACTGTATCCCAGGATCTTCTTTTGAGATACAAGCAGGCCACCAGGACCAAAGCTGGACAGGCAGAGGGAAAGGGCAGTGCTTTTGTTTACAGTAGTTCTCTATATTCTTTTTGATTTGAGGAGACGTGAAAGGGAAAATACGATCATTTAAACTTTATCCAACCTCTTTAATTCATATACAGTCATACCTCATGTTACGTCTGCTTCATGATACGTTTTTTCGGGTTGCATCCTGCGGCAACCCAGAAGTACCAGAAAGGGTTACTTCCAGGTTTCACTGCTTGCGCATATGCAGAAGTGCAAAATGACAACACGCGCATGCGCAGAAGCAGCTAATCGCGTCCCGCGCGTGTGCAGATACGCTGCTGCGGGTTGTATTCTATTCATGTTGCGAACGCTCCTCCAGAACGGATCCCGTTCGCAACCAGAGGTGCCACTGTAAAGTAAAAACACCTAAAATAAGTAAAATCATAGAATCATACAACTGTAGAGTTGGAAGGGACCTTGAGGGTCATCTAATCCAACCCCTTGCAATGCAGCAATCTCAGCTGAAGTATCCATGACTGATGGCCATCCAACCTCTGCTTAAAAACCTCAGTAGAAGGAGAATCCACAATCTCCTAATGGAGTCCAGTCAACTGTTGAACAGCTCTTACTGTCAGAAAGTTCTTCCTGATGTTTATGCTGAATCTCCTTTCTTGTAACTTGAAGCCATTGGTTTGAACCCTCCAGAGCAGGAGAAAACAAGCTTGCTGCATCTTCCATGGGAAAGCTCTTTAGATATTTGAAGAGCGCTATCATATTTTCTCTCAGACTCCTCTTTTCCAGGCTAAGCATGCCCAGCTTCCTCAACCATTCCTCATGAGACTTGGTTTCCAGACCCTTGATCATCTTGGTCACCCTCCTCTGCACATTTTCTAGCTTGTCCATATTTAAGAAATTGTGGCACCCCCACCCCCACCCTGCTGCATCACACTATTGACTCATGTTACCCTTGGGGTCTACTGAGACCCCTAGGTCCTTTTCACATGTACAACTGGCAAGCCTGGTGTCTTGCATCTTATATGCAGCTCGTTCTTTCTGCCTAAATGTAGAACCTGACATTTGTCCCAAATGAAATTCATTTTGTTAGTTTGGGCCCAGTTCTCTAATCTGTTAAAGTCATATTGGATCCCATTTCTGTCTTCTGTGGCATTAGCTGGCCCTCCCAGTTTGGTGTCATCTTCAAATTTGATGAGGTTCCTTTCAATTCCTTTGTCCAAGACATTTTAAAAAACATTGAACTACTATGGGCCCAGGTCAGAACCCTACGATACCCCTCTTGTCACTTTTTTCCAGGATGATGAGGAACCAATAATGAACACTTAGTAGTAGTAGTAGTAGTAGTAGTAGTAGTAATAATAATAATAATAATAATAATAATAATAATAATAATTTATTATTTATACCCCACCCATCTGGCTGGGTTTCCCCAGCCACTCTGGGCGGCTTCTAACAAAACACTATAATACAATAACCTATTAAACATTAAAAGCTTCCCTAAACAGGGCTGCCTTCAGATGTCTTCTAAAAGTTTGGTGGTTATTTTTCTCTTTGACATCACATCTGGTGGGAGGGCATTCCACAGGGCGGGCGCCACTACTGAGAAGGCCCTCTGCCTGGTTCCCTGCAACTTGGCTTCTCGCAGCGAGGGAACCATCAGAAGGCCCTCGGCACTGGACCTCAGTGTCCGGGCAGAACGATGGAGGTGGAGACGCTCCTTCAGGTATACTGGACACTTAGGGTTCTGTCAGTCAGCCTTTTACAAATCTACCTAACAGTTACCTCATCCAGCCCACATTTTATCAGCTTCTGTGCAAGAATATCATGGGGGACTTCATCAAAAGCCTTACTGAAATTGAGATACCCTATGTCCACCACATTCCCCTGATCTACTAAACTTGTAACTCTATCAAAGAAAGAATGAAATTCATCTGGCATGATTTCTTTTTGACAAACCCATGCTGAGTCTTAGTAATCACAACATTCTTTTCTAAGTGGTCACAGACTGATGGTTGAATTATCTGTTCTTGGACCTTTCCTGGAACTGATGTTAAGCTGACCTGTCAGTAGTTATCTGGGTCCTCTCCCTCCGCTTTCAAGATGGAGACAACATTTGCTTGCCTCCAGTTTGCAAGGACCTCACTTGTTCTCCAATAATTCTCAAATATTATAGACAGAGGCTCTGAGATTACAGTACATCTGCAAGCTCATCAGGCCCTGGAGATTCAAATTCATTTTAAGTAGCTGGGTCTTCCCTTACCTCCTATTTTGGGTTGCAGCTCAAGAAGGCAATGCTTGTGGAATGTACAGTTCCAGTTTCAGGGCCAATTTTTATTATGATTCATCCACTTACTTCTCCTGTTCAAGTGTGTGTGAGTGTGTTTAAGCTGTGTTTTCCACTTTCAGCCGTATCTGGTTTGTCAGACATATTTGCCTATTAATCAGTGGTGCCCTGTCTGCAGAAACAACTCCAATCTTTATAGAAGGTGCTCTGGACCATAGTACCAAACACCTTAGTTCTAACTAAAGAGCTCATCCACTCTTACCTTCTTGCCCATGCTTTCTAGGCATAGGTCCACACCTTCCTGGTCTGTGTCCGAGTGCTTGGGTTTTTTGCCACACCACATCCCCCAGGAAAACCTACTCTTTAATGCTGAATCAGATCAAATGGCAATTCGGGTTCCCCGCAGATTGCTGTTTGCTCTGATTCAGCGGTAAAGAGTGGGTTTTCTTGGGGAAAGTACCATGACCCAAAAGAGAGAGAAAGCAGTAGGAAAGGGGGTTTTAAAGCACAGATATGTGCTTAAAAATGAAGAGCACAGGCAAGTGAGGATGAGCCCTGACTTGAAAAGGGAAATTGCAATCACCCTTCCTCCTCTATATGTAGCTGTGTAAAAGGCAGATTCCTTGCTATGGTTCATTAGAAAAGGAACTGGAAATAAAACTGCAAATACCATAACTCCATTTTGCATATCTATGGTGTGGCCACATTTAGAGTACTTTGCACAGATCTGGTTGCTTTACCTCTAAAAGGATATTATGGAGTTGGAAAAGGTTCAGAAAAGGGCCACAAGAATGGTCAAGAGGATGGTGCAATTCCCCTAAGAAGAAAGAAGACTTTTTAGTTTAGGAAAAAGGCAAGTAAGAGGCAACATGATGGGAGTTTATAAAATGATGGCATGGAGAAAGTACACAGAGAAAAATTTCTCTCTCTCATAACTCTAGAACTCCTGGACATCCAATGAAACTGAAAATTAGAAGATTTAGGATGGTTAAAAGAAAGTCCTTCACATAACAATGAAACTCACTCTCACAGGAGGCAGTGATGGTCACTAACCTGGATGGCTTTAAAAAGAAGATTAGACACTTTCATGAAGGTGGAGAGAGCTATCAATGGCTACTAGCCAGGATGGCTGTGCTTTCATAGTCAGAGGCAGTAATGCTTCTGAATATCAGTGGCTGGAAACCACAGAGGGGAAGTGTGTTGCCCTTGTGCATGGCATCTGGGTGGCCACTGTGAGAACAGGATGCCGGACTTGATGGGCCATGGGCCTGATCCAGCAGGCTCTTCTTAAGTTATTCCTGAGTCCACACCTTCTCTCTGTAGATGATCCTTCTACAGTACTGTGTTGTGTCACTTTTAACTGCCACTATTTCCTCCAGAGGAGAATTGTCTTTTTGGAGATCTGTGGCACCCCCTTTCCTCATCTGCATTCCAGGCTCCTGGATAGAGGGGAGGCCTGTGAAAGCAGCTTAATCTGTAGATCTGACTAAATTCTACTAGCAGATCTATGTCATCCTCCTGGAGGCAGGCTAGGGCATTGCTGAGAAGGCAAAAAAGGAAGAGCCAAGATTAGCAGCAGGGAGGAAAGGTGGCTGCCAGGAGCAGATTAGAGACAGACACAGCAGCAGCAGGCAGGCAGGCAGGCAGGCAGGCAGAACTTGGCAGGTTGGGAATGAATGCATGTTGGAGGAGAGGTACAGTGGGGGGAAGACTATGGGGCAAATGGAAGTAGTGGAAATGCTGAGGGCAGACCTCACCACACATCTGGTTCCCATGTCAGTGGGAAGAGAAGGATATGAGCACATTGTTGGGCTCAGAATGCCAAGGACTATCCCAGTTCCCCTCCAGGCTCTCTGGCAGAAAGTGGCCCCACAACAATTATGCTGGAAAGGAATCTCTCTGTCTCTCTCCCTCTCCCCCTCTTCCTGGAAACCCCAGGCAAGGAGAGGGCTCTTGTGCTTGGATCCCGCTTGCATAATCGGCATCTGGTTGGTCACTGTGAGAACAGGATGCTGGACTAGGTGGACCCCCTTTTGGCCTGATCCAGCAGAGTTCTTCTCATATTTTCATGTCCTTATATGCTTATATGTTTCACCGGTGGATCTAACTCTGCTGTGGGTAAGTATATAAGATAGGGAACTCCCCTGCCCCATAGATAGATGGAACAAGAATCTGCCTGGCTGAAAACATTCAAGACCAAAGTATTTTAACTTTGTGAAGTTCGCTGGACCAAGGATTTATTTTATTTTTTAGCAATATTTCTGCATATGTAGTGAACCATGTGCAAAATAACTGTTTAAAATCTAAACCTGCATCTTCTCCTCTGGCAGGAGTACACAATTGATGTATTCTTCCGGCAGTCCTGGCGAGATGAGAGGCTAAAGTTTGATGGCCCCATGAAGATCCTCCCCCTCAACAACCTGCTGGCCAGCAAGATCTGGACACCTGACACCTTTTTCCACAATGGCAAGAAATCGGTGGCTCACAACATGACCACACCCAACAAGCTTCTTCGACTGGTGGACAATGGTACCCTCCTCTACACCATGAGGTAGGTGGTGGTTTTGCTTCCCAAAGGCATGTCTTCCTTACTCAGCACCCGCCATCACCTCCTGGAAGGGACTGAGCCTCTCAGCTGAAATGGGGACCAGAGGGTTCGCCTTGGGCATCTTCCTCTGGCCTTCCTGCAGCTTGACTAGCATCTCCTGCTGCCCAAGCATCTTCACAGCCCTACAACCAACCTGAGTGTGTCACAGACACTGCAGGTTAGGCTCCACTGGGAAGAGTCAGCTGCCATGCAACTTTTCTGGAGACCACAGCTCAGGGGTAGTAGGAGGATATGATAAAGTATGCAGCCACTGGATCAATCCCGACAGCTTAGAGGAACCTGAAGTGCAGAATGGGGTGGGGATCTCTGCCTTTCCCTGTCTGAGCTGTCAGCATAATCATATCACATGAGCCGTTGGCCTGACTTAGTAGGCACTTTCTCATTTTACTGACGGTCTTAATGATTTGCAGGATGTTGTTCAGAATCCCTGGTTCAGTCCATCTCCTCCTCCCTTGGTCTTGTAGAAGACTTGTCACTCCAACTCACAAGGAATAAAGCTTCAGCAGAATGTTCTTGGTATTTTTTTTGCAGTTTAATGACTCCCAATCCTGCAATGCCTTTGTGTCCCTTTGTGCTGGGAGAAGCATGTGCTGCTTATGCAGCTTTAAGAGTATGCATTGCAATCCCCCATGGAAATGTGTGGATGTGAGCATTTGGATTACAGGGATCATTTCAGAAAGCAGTGGGCTACAGGAGCACAACTCCCTCTCAGGAAATGTCCATTTGGCCAAGAGTTTGCCTAGGAAACTCCTTGCTTGCTGTGGGAGAACAGGGTTGGTTTAACACCTGGATATTCCATTGGCAGTGGTCATTGTTTCTTGTAGATTGACCATTCATGCGGAGTGTCCGATGCACCTGGAGGACTTCCCAATGGATGTGCATGCCTGTCCACTGAAGTTTGGGAGCTGTAAGTACTTTCCTGACAGCACAAGCAAAGTGTCCTTGCATTCTTGGCTTGAAGGCAGCAGGTACGGGTCCTTGGCAGGCTAGTTATCAGGTGAGCAAACATCCCTGAGAGTGTGAGCTTATGCGACATCCTGCGTTGCTATGAACCTCTATTTTCAAAGTGGCCTTCCAAAGTGAAGCTGTCATTTTAAGGTAATTTTTTCCTCACAGATAAATGAACTTTGAGGTTTACATCTCCACCTTATACAGAATTGGGTGAAAATTGATTGTAGGACAGCAGTCTCTAGAAAAACCCCTTCCTATAGAATACCATGCTCCCCTTAATTGTCTTAATTCTTTCTAATATTGTATTTTTGAATTATTGTAATCCACTCATCATCATCTAAAACAATTATTTCACATGTAAGGTAAGGTAAAGGTAAAGGACCCCTCGACGGTTAAGTCCAGTCAAAGGCGACTATGAAGTGCGGTGCTCATCTTGCTTCAGGCTGAGGGAGCCGGCGTTTGTCCACAGACAGTTTTCCGGGTCATGTGGCCAGCATGATAAACCACTTCTGGTACTACGGTACACCGTGATGGAAACCAGAGCGCACAGAAACACCATTTACCTTCCTGCCACAGCGGTACCTATTTATCTACTTGCACTGGTGTGCTTTTGAACTGCTAGGGTGGCAGGAGCTGGGACAGAGCATTGGGAGCTCACCCCATCACATGGATTCAAGTCGCTGACCTTCCGATTGGCAAGCCCAAGACACTCAGTGGTTTAGACCACAGTGCCTCCCACTCCCTATTATTTCACATGTCTCTCTATGCACTGCAGTATAAGAAATCACAAGCTCACATGCATACAGACCAGTCTAAAGGAAAGCATCAAATAACTGCAAATGTTGTGCTTTGTTTAATAATGATAATGATAATGATAATAATAAATTGAACCCAAATCAATATTTGATCAACCAGCTAGGGGAAGATTTCCTTGGAACATGATATGGAAATGGGATCAATGTTGCTTTGCCATACTGGATCTGAGAGCTCCTGGACCTGGTGGCTCTATGACCCCCCCCACTCCCCTCTGCTCAACCAGTGGAAATATATTTAGTAGACAGAGGTGCCCCACTGCCAGCTTCACTGTGTGATGTGTCGAGCCAAGAGTCTGGTTCCCACAGGTGTGGCCAGCCTGGCAAACATCTGGTATCTCTTTGACATGACGCCTTAGATGCCTCTCCTTGGGTCTCCATTTGGCCACAGACTTGGCTGCTTTTGTGGCCTCTGTTTGTCTGCCATGAGCAGCCAGGTCTAATTGGAGCAACACATGAGCAGCACAACTGAACCTCCCAAGTCAGCAGGTCCTATCCAATTGCTGCTTCTGCTGCTTCAGAGCCCCATGGAAAGGAGGTGCTGCCACAGTGCCTGCAGGCCCCCACTGAGGTTGCCTTCTGGGACAAGCCTCTGAGTGTGGGCTTAATATTTTCCACCTGCTTTGGCTAACTTGAGTACCCACTGATGCTTCAGCATGGGATGCAGTCCAGAAATATCTCCAGTGGTCCAGTGGCCTGGTTATCGGAGAGGCCAATGGAAGCCGCTGGAACCACCACTAGTCTTTTGCAGGGCATGGAAGATCTCAGGTGGCAGCCTCCTTCCCTCCCACACCTTGAGAGAGTGCAGGGTTTCAGTCAGGTGTCTCTGTGCCAGATACAGCTTTCTAATGGGTGTCTCTTTTCCTGGAGTTGGGGTTGACCTTTGGAAGCCATTCTGGGCACCATTTTGGAGATGCTCCTCATTGGGCAGGAGCTGCCATGGTGTAGCTAAACCTCCTCCATCCCATCCTTTCTGCTTTCTCCACAGATGCTTACACCAAGACAGAGGTGATCTACACCTGGACCCATGGGAAAGTGGAGGTGGCCGAAGAAGGCTCCCGCCTGAATCAGTACGACCTCCTTGGCCACAATGTGGGGAGAGACTCCATTGAATCCAGCACAGGTAATGGAGAGCCTCCTTGGATGGTTTCCTGCAGGGTGTCGGACTACATGACCCTTGGGCATCCCTTCCAACTCTACAATTCTATGATTCTCCATGATGAGCAGGAACCACAAAGGCAGGACTAAACGTCTCACTTGTTTAATGAGGCTTACAATACTAAAAAGCCCAAGCCCTGGTAAAAGAGGAATCGGGGCTTTTTTGCCTAGCGCCTAAAGCTATGTAGTGATGGCACCAGGTAATCCTCCCTGGGGATAGCATTGCACAAGGGGGGGGGGGGGGCGCCTACAACTGAAAACACCCAATTCTTCTGTCCCTACCTCCCACAGATGGGGCACTCAGAGATTGGTCTCAGGTGAAAATTGCAGGGTCAGTTTTTATGTGCATTGTTTTGCAGCCCCTCCTTTTCACAAATAGGCCACTATAGAGGTGCCATTGGCGAAGGTGCTGCCAAGGAGGAAGCAGATCCAGCTTCCACGGAGCATGCCACAGCCATTGGTGCCACAGTGGCAGAGGCAGTGGTGGTGGTGGCAGCAGCAGCAGTTGGTGATGCATTCCTTGGAGGTCGGATCTGTAGATCCCCTCAAGGTGGTCCCCTTACCTTGCCTCCTGGGTAGGCCAACCCTGAGGAGGGTGGCAGTGCAAGAATGAGCCTTTTCAGTGGTGGCTCCCTGCTTGTGCAGTACTCTCCCCAGGGAGGCTCACCTTCTTCCTTCCTTACATATCTTCAGGTGCCAGGAAAAACTTTCCTCTTCAATCAGGTCTTTGGCCTTTAACTATCTGTGACCTTTTAGAAGTGGGTGGGATGCTTTAAATGTATTCCCTCCCCTTGCTTTTAATGTATGTGGGGTTTAATCTATATGGAGTGTTTGTTTGTTTGTTTGTTTGTTTGGCTGGCTGGTTGTAAGTTGCCTTGGGTTGCCCTGGGCAAGATAAAGTGACTGACAAATTTAATAAATAAAAACAAAAACGATTGCTTTCCACTGCAGGCTGTATCTCAACAATCATGTTTACTGGCAAGGATGCAAAAAAAGAAAAGAAAAAAGGCAAATAAAAACCCCTTGTATCCCTCTCTACCCCCCACCCCTCCATATCACTGCAGGAACCTACATTGTGATGACCACTTACTTCCACCTTAAGCGTAAGATTGGGTATTTTGTGATCCAGACCTACTTACCCTGCATCATGACAGTCATCCTCTCCCAAGTCTCTTTCTGGCTCAACAGAGAGAGTGTTCCAGCACGGACAGTGTTTGGTGAGCTTCTGATGGAGGATGGTCTGAGGGCTGACTGGAGGAAACAGGGAGACGGGGAGAGCATCAAGACTGGTGCTGGAGAGAAGCAGCAGCAGCAGGGACCTTCCTGCCTGTCAGCCACATTCCCTTCATGTTGATGACAGACATTTGCATAAGGCTTAAACTCTGAGGTTTCCCCCAGGAATATCTGCTAGCCATGATGGCTATGTCCTCCCTCCACTGTCAGAGGCAGTAGTGCTTTTGATTATCAGTTGCTGCGAACTGCAGGTAGGGATCCAGTTGGCTGCTGTGACAACAAGATGCTGAACCAGCTCTTTAAATCAGGGGTGGCTAACCAATGCTGCTGCACTCCAACTCCCAGCAGCCAGAGTGGCTAATGGTCAGGGATAGTGATGATGATGGGATTTGTAGTCCAATATCACCTGGAGGGCTCCTACAGGTTCCCCATCACCCTATTTTAAGTGTCTTGCTAATTTAATCCTGCAACATAATTGTATAATTAGACACAGCTTCCCTGGTGTTGACAATGGGACTGTGCTCAGGTACGGCACTGGCTCCTTCCACATTTTCTTGGGGCATCTAGGGCAGTGGCTGCTGTGACAAAGCAGCCCAAGGAGGCTCAATGGATCCCCTACTGCCCTCAAGAGGGAGAAAACCTCCTGTGGCCCCATTTCAGCAGTGCCTTTTCTGGTTTTGTTCCCACAGGAGTCACCACGGTCCTGACCATGACCACCCTGAGCATCAGTGCAAGAAACTCCTTGCCCAAAGTGGCATACGCAACGGCCATGGACTGGTTCATGGCTGTCTGTTATGCCTTTGTGTTCTCTGCACTGATTGAGTTTGCTGCCGTCAACTACTTCACTAAACGCAGCTGGTCTTGGGATGGCAAGAAGGTTCTGGAGGCCCAGGAATTGAAGGTGAGAGAGGGAGTCATTGGAGGGAGCAGGAGAGAAGCAAAGAGGGAGAGCAATCAGAACTTGACGTACAAGAATAGGCATTGAAACCTTACTTTGGTTGATTCCAAAGTGGGTGGTAGCACACCCTGGGGGGTGGGATTCCCTAGGGGGTAGCAGGGGGTGCAGGAGGAGTAAATGACTATCAGATTTTGGAAAGCTGCTATCACTGGATCAAGTTCATCAGTTTTGTTGAATTAATTAAATGAAAGGGTTTTAATTGGATTTTGAATAAATGTGCAATTAATTGTCACTGTTTTGACTTATATGGTGTTGTTATCTCCCTTAGTGTGTTAGGCAAACTGCTATCCTGAATAGTGCTTTTGTAGGGTATGGGGCACTGGGGGTGAGTTCATGGAACCAAGGGGGGATTGGCCCTCAAAAGTTTGAGAACCTCTGCCTTACTCCAAACAGAGCTAAACATCAATGTTTTGCAGCCCAGAGAGGGAGGGAGGGAGGGAGGGAGGGAGGGAGGGAGGGAGGGAAAGAAAGAAAGAAAGAAAGAAAGAAAGAAAGAAAGAAAGAAAGAAAGAAAGAAAGAAAGAAAGTCCATTGCTGCTGCTGCCCCTAATCCCCCCTTTGCTTATCCTGTATGGCTTTTACGCATCACCAAAGGAGCTCTGAGAATAACTATAACCCAGAAGCATTTTTTCACCTGTGAAAGGCCAGTTGGCTTCCCACATCAGTGGAGATGATCTCAAGCCCTGCAATGTGTTAAATGTCACCTGGAATTACACAGATGACCTGCTGTATAAAGGGGTTGAGAAATCACATAGATACTTCTCCTGTTCTAAAAGGGGGGAGGGGGAGAGAAGAGAAGAGCCCTACCTGCAGCTTCCCTGTGGTGTGAGGCAGCACACGTACATGATTTGAGATTTCACTGGCCATAAATTTCCTGTTGGAGATGCCATGTTTGGCAAGGACTTGTAGCATTTGCAGCTCACAACATGGTTTACTCTAGGAACATTGGAAGCTGCTTTGTACTGAGTCAGACAGTTGGTTCATCTGACTCAGCATTGTATACACTGACAATACTCTTCAGGGTATCAGGCTGGGGATCTCTCCCATCCCTGCCTGGAGATGTCATTGGGGATTGAACCTGATACCTTCTGCATGCAAAGCAGATGCTCCCCTTCCCTCTGATCCAGGTTTGACGGGGTGCATTTTTGAATTGCACCAAGTTCATCTGGTTGTTTTTTTGGTTTTTTTGCAAGCCTTTTATTTCTGCAGTAGCGAGTGTTTCTGGGAGCTGTTTCTGGGCTGGTTTCCAAAGACTTTTTCATTCCTCCTCAGAAAAAAGAGCCCGTCATGCTGGCAAAGAAGACCAATAACACCTACAACATTGTTGGCACAACGTATGCCCTCAATATCACCAAGGAGCCAGGCCTGCCCACCATTGCCAAGAGCGCATCAGCAACTACAGCCACACCTGTCACGGCTGCTGCTGCTGCTGCTGCTGCTGCGCCCCCAAAGGTGGCCCGGTTGGAAGAGAAGCCCCCTGAGAACAAGAAGACCTACAACAGTGTCAGCAAGGTAGACAAAATGTCCCGCATCGTCTTTCCGGTCTTGTTCACCATTTTCAACATGGTGTACTGGGCGACGTACGTCAACCGGGAGTCGGCTATCAAGGGCATGATCCCCAAGGAATGAAGCAAGCCCCTCGCCCCTCTTCCATCTGTCCATGTGGCCCAGGCAGAGGAGTCTCTATGGGGGCTCCTTTGTCCCCCGGCTGGTTCTATATTAATTTTATCTTCTTATTAATTTTATCAGCTGACTTATTCCTTCTCCCCATGCAAATCAAACTGTGATTTTTTACAAGGATAACCCCAAGAACTTTTCATTTGTTACTTGTTTGGTCTCTTCTATTTCGTTGTTGTTGTGGAGGTGTGTGGAGGTATGTGTTGAGAGGACGTATAATAGAAAAGTGGTGCCTCCCGCGTGGTGAGTCTGACATCCTTCTCCCCTGCTTGCCCCACACCAATGGGAGCTGGCTTCATTCCCAGTTCATTTCATGCTAAATTCTGCTGAGGAATGCAGGGCAGTTTCTTCTTCCCTTCTAGTGACCTCTGATGGTCTGCCCTGGTGTCTCCAGTGGTCACCTTTCTCATCCCTTGGTGAGTTTGTCTTGGTGGTTCCTCTTCTGCTGTGCTTCTTTCCTCCAATGATGGGGGTGGGAAATTGTGGCCCTTCAGATGTTGCTGAACTGCAACTCCTATCAGCTCCAGCAAGCAGGGATGTTGGGAGTTGTAGTTTGGAAATATTGGGTGGATTTGGGGGATAGGGGACAGTGCACCCCATCCTCTGATGATGAGGCCTCCCAGAACCACACAGATCCCTCCTACCCTGGGTGTCTCCTTCCCTCTGCAGTTTTTAAGCAGGGAAAAGCAACCAGACCCTCTTTCCTTTTCCACACCCCACGCAAATGAGAGGTGTCCCAGTTCTCCGTGCCTACCAGTGGGGAGGGGACTGGTGGCACCACAAATTATGGGTGGCTAGTTTGCTGAGTCAAACATTATAACCCCCTGAACAAAAGTAAGCCTGTGGGATGTTAGATGGCTTTGGAGCATAGGATAGGATATTCTTCATTATTTATCCTTCCTCATGCTCACTTGTGTGAGTTTATCATCTGGTTAGCAGAGTTTAAAATTACCATCCCTTTGTGCTATAAAATGTAGAAACTTCTGGGACAAGGTTGCTTAACCTTAATAATTAACCAGGGTGTTCTAGCTGACTGGACCTTCCCCCCTTTATTCCTAGAAACGAAAGAATAACACAGAAGTCTGTCATGTAAGAATAAAAATATTGTTTACTTTCATAATGTCTCAGACTCGATTCAGCAGTAAGCAGCAGTGAAATAAGACAGGCAGAATATATTTTTTCAATTACAAAATAAATGGTTGAGATAAAAAATGGAATCTGTCCAGGAAAGCACAGAGAAGCATTCCTCTCTTTAGTTACATGGTAAAGGAAAACAACAACCTGAACTTTTAGGAGGGAGTAAGTAATAAGGATTATTTTCCTTTTGTTACTTTCCCCCACCTAGAAAAGCAGGGGATATGACTTCACAGAATGCCCCATCTCCATGTGTCTTAACCCTTTGTTTGTCTAGCAACCCATGAATTTTTATTTTGGCTGCAATGCTATTTACCACAGACTCCTCATACCTGCTCAAGGAGAAAGATGTTCCTGTTCTGGAGAGCAATGCCATGGGGTGGTGATGGCCACCATGGGCAGCAGAAAAGAGAGATGCAAGGTGATGCAAATTTGGCCTGCAAACAGCCAGGACAGCCATGGAGTTTGTGCAGGTTCTGTTCTCAGAAACTGGCAACTTTAAATAACCTTGTTTAAGAGTGAGTCTGAACTACAGGTGCTGACAACAGTAGGCATAGGTTTATCCCACTCTCTGCACTGTCTTGGCATCCCTTGGTTTCCTTGGAGATGCTATCAAAACCTCTCTTTCCAAACAATGGATTTTGTAGTTCTGCGCTGCCTGATTCAGAGGCACCAGTGTGTTAGTTATCTGCCATTTTGCTGGACTTGGTTTTCTAGATTTTGTTTTAAAAGGGAGGTGGGGCAGAGTTGACCCTTCCTGCAGTTTTCATTCTTTCATCCCCCCCCTCTTTGGTTGCTTTTGGGGTGAGATGCTAGGACAAATGTTCACACTGTGCCCTAAATGGTTTCTAGCCCCCTCAATGGTTTGTGTGAAGGAGTGGATTATCATCTGCATTTCTACTTTCATTCTTTGTGAATATAAAGCTCCCTGTGGATTGTTACAATATCTTGACATTTGGGAGCATGAGAAATGCTTCTTTTAAAATGTTGTTGGGGTATTACTTCAACCACCTCATGAAAATGGGCCTAGTTTGGAGGAAGCCAGAAGGCTAGTCAGCCTCTTCCGTCTTGGCACGCCGAGGTTTGGGAGGGGACGGAAATTTCTCAGCTGCTTGTCCCTCTAAGGAACTGAACTGTTTGGACAAAGAGGAGAAATAGGAAGTCGGAGTGCTGGTCTTTGCTTGGCAGCAGTGGGCAAAGACACTGGGGGTGTTGTGTTCATTTGCATGTTCGTTCAGGGGGGAAGATATAGGTAGGAAAAGTAGAATTCCTGGATGCCATGATCCAAGTTTGGGGCTAGTACTCTTTGGTGAGAGACCCCCAGCAGAGATTTTAAAAACATAAGGGTTGTAGACCTTTAACATATGCCCTTGTAAGTTCCAAAACTTCTCTCTTTCCCTAGCTTCTCACACATTTGAGAAGCTAAAAATGGTTTACTTACACACCCTCTAAAGGTCACATTCATGTGCTTTTCCACAAGGGCCAGGAGACTTGGCTTAGTTACTAAGTGGTAAAAGTTCCTAAATTAATCAAGAGTGGCTTGTAAGAGCCATGCAGTCTGAGCTGCAACAACCAGCTCAGATCTCCTCACATGTTGAGCTTTCCTGATAGACAGTTTACTCTATGGTCTTAACCCCTTCGTGCAATAATTAGACTTAATCATGTTGGGTATATGAGGCTGGTTATCTCACATTGCACACACACATATGCACATACCATTGGCCTACACAAGACTTCATACATCTCAGGAAGAGAGCAGCCACTCACTCATTCATTCACATCCTTGCCGTGATGGGTATCTGCTGCTGGGTGTCCTTTGTGGCATTCATGGAAGCAAGCCTTCTCTCCCCGCCTGGGCCTGTGTGCCATTGTAGTTGGGATTCCTTAAAGAGAGAAAAAATGGGAATGGACAGAAGGGAGCTGCACACAGCAAATTCCCAAATGCTACCACCACCTTCTTTACTGTCTCTGAGAGGAGCTGTCGAAGGCAACCAAAGTCTCTCGCTTCCCCTGGAAGCCCCAGCCCAATTTAGAGTAGAATGAGCAATTTCTCTCCTTATAAGAAGAACGTTGGTCTTGAAAAGGGTTTTGTTTTTGTTTTGAATCAATATGCATCAAGCAACTCTCAGGGAAATCCTGGTGCTTTTCAATTTCCCTTTTGTTGGGGCTTAAAAGGTTCAGCTTGTCACGTCTTGTGTGATGTATTGTGGTGCAACTATTGAAAGTTTTTTTTGAAAATTTGAAAAGCCATTTTATTTTATTATTATTTTCTTTTTTTATACAAAATAATATCAAGTCTTTACAAAATCGTATCACTGTGAAAATCCTTGAGAATAGTAGGGGGGAAATTGTTTTTGAAGCCACTACTTATAAATCTAAATATCAGGACAAGGATGCTATTTTCTCCCCCCACCCCGTGTCACTTTCCCCCATTTTTTCCTGCTACTCAGAGTGGCTACAGAGCTTTGTGCAGCCCAGTCAAGCCTTGGCTTAACACCAGCCAAGGGCTTGTAGTGGAGCATCAAAGCTGGGTAAGCCTGATTCTATAATCAGCCTCCCTTTACCCAACTGCAGAATGGCCATAATAACCATGGCCTGTCTCATAGGACAAGCACAAAGAAAGGCCTGCATTTTGCATAATTTACTGGTGTGACAGTGACTAGACTAACCCTCTCCTTGCTACACTTCTCTTTTCTTCCATGGCACTTTCCTTTTGGGTTCACATTGTCCTGCCAGAACTGCATGCTTGAACTGTGTTTTTAAAGAAACTCTAATCTTGAACCCACACATCTCGATGTGCCGAACTTAATCAGATGTAGAGAGCAAAAAAGAATGTCAAGGAAGAGCATTGAGGCAGCAGGTTTAGCGGAGTTAAAAGAACCTGAAGAGTTGTCCTTGGGAATGGCATAAATTCATAACTGATTTATTTTCAAAACTGCACAGTTGATGCAGGCAGGGTGTGCGCCTGCCCAAGGCAATGACTGAGTAGGACAAAAGCTTGAGAGACCTCACCTGGACCTCTCATGGGAAGTTTTGGGTCTTAAAATATCTGGAAATAATGTTTGCCACAAACTCAGACTGGTGGCTTGCAGATAGACCAGAGTCTCCTTCATCCTGTGCAGAAAGCTCCATAGATGAAAGGTGTTCTCTGCACCTGCAGTGTTTGCTGGATTAGGAAGCACAGGTGTTAATCAGACACACAGTGGCACGTTCTTTCAAATGGGAGTCCTGCTTCTCATCCATACTACAATCATTATTTTCACCCTTAAATGTGCATCCACAATCTGGCACTAAATAGAATGGATTAGAATTTAGGGCTTGTGCCAGCATCCTTATTCTCCTCCCCCTCTCTCTCTGATTGTAGAATGATTCAATTGGAGGAAGGCACATGGGATATGCATTCTAATTTAATAGATCATCTAGATCAGGGTGGTCCAAAATGTGGCCCTTGAGGCCTTTTTTTGTGTGGCCCTCAGCAACATTTGACCCCTTCCCCCTCAGCCCTCCCAAAGTCAGGTAAGCAAGGTGAGGTGCTGGGCTTTGGGAAGAAGGCATGAGGGCTCTGACAGAGTCCTCCTCCTCCCTTCCCAGAGCCTACTTAGCACTTTCCCAGCTTTGGGAAGAAGGTGGACAGGATCTGGTACCCTGCTAGAGCCTCATGCCTCCTCCCCAAAGCCCAGCACCTCACTTAGCCAGTTTTGGGAAGGCAGGCTTGTGGGTGTTAAATTTTGACTTCATTCCCCCCCTCCCACACAAGGCAGTGTGTGGCCTGCAGGTTTTGTGTTGAAGTATTTTTGTGGCCCACTTAGTATTAAAAG